AACTCTGGATCGCTGGGTCGTTTAGTAGCCAGTGAACAACAGGCTCCCCAATTAAGCGATCTGGTTTTGGGTGTCAGTGTGCGCTTTGACAAAAAGGGTCATGGACATTAGTTGTCGAGTCAAATCACAAGAGTAATTGTTCCGAATCATAATAATTCATTAGATTTAGATAAATTTTGGTAACTTGAATTAATAAAAGAATACTGTTCTCACTTAGCGTCTTTTCCGTAGTCGACTACACCGCGTTAGATAGTAGTTTAATCTGTCTAATTCTTGCGAAAACGTATTTAGGTGCGTTTAGAGAATTTCACCTAGGTTAAATTCCTCGCGGCGATAGATTACAGAACGTTTAGCATTATTAACTTTATACAAATTTCATATATACAGGGTGTCCCGCAATTAGTGTAGGACCCGAAAAGGGGTGGTAGGTGGGGCGATTCTGAACTTTTTCCTTTGCCAAAATATTGGTTGAGGCTCCATTTTCGAGTTATTAGCAAAAAACACTGACCAATAAAAGCGTGCATAGACCGGGCGCGCGAAAGCGTAAACGACAGCTTCGAATATGACGACCGATCGTCGTCGTGAACAAACGTATCGATACCGTCGGTATAATGTCGACTTTTGCTCACGCTTTTGCGCACCCGGTCTATGCGCGCTCTCATTGGTCAGTGTTTTTTGCTCTTAGTTGTTGAAATAAATTAAAAAACATCAGCAGACATCGGCGAGTCTGGGGTTTCTTCTTCACTTCCATTGGCATTTAAACACAATTAAATAATTATAATATTATCACAATTCATATCATTTTATTCAAGATAATTTGTAGAATAGCTTGGTATAAAAATAAAATGAATAGAAGTAACTATAAGACTGTGAAACTTTTTGAAAGTTGAAAACTTACAATTTTCCTTTAAGTCAAATTTTCTCGAAAACGATAACCACTACAAAAAAACAGTTTACGAATTCAGATTCAGCATGAAAAAATGTATAAGAGTCATTTACAGATAAATTGCAAAATTGCAAGTACTAAAAAGTTATCGAGCAATGCCAGTCGTGTTTACTTACTTTTGGAACGTGTATTCGTTGCATACCGTGAATCTTTTTTTACGAAGAAATCCAGCACTAATGAACATTTTATCAGCATAATTATATAGATTATTTCATGTAGCTTCTGTAGATTTGTTTTTTGAAGTTACATATTTGCTTTGACATAAATGGTTTTTTGCTACAAGCTCAAAGTGTTTACTTACTTTTGGTACCCATTGTATGTCGCAGTATAGTTCGCGATATTTCAGTCGAACCACGTACAAAAGTACGCATAAAATAAAACGGTCGCGAATTTTAATATTTTGTGTTATTTTTTTTTGTATTAACTTTTATTTAACTGTTTTTTTATTAATTTTTTTTAAGTGTATTGCATTTTACACTGTAAGTGTGCACAAGTGTGCGTGAAACAGTGTGAAAAAAATGGACAATAATAAGATTCTAACAAAAGTGCGTAAAATGAACAACACGAGAAATTTGTGCATCGCCAAAGGTGAAGAAAATGTGGAAAATGTCAAACCAACAAGAGGAAATAAGAAAAAATTGCCTCCTTCGAAAAGAAGATACTCACAAAGAAGGGCGTGGCGCAAAAGAGGAGAGTGCTTATTAGCCGCTCAGAAGAAGAAATCGGAAACTGTCGACGGCGTAACTACCAAGAAGAAAGATATTGCTATGCAATTTATAAATCAGTCGTCAACATCCAATGGAATTTATTGTCTATCGGAAGAAATTGCAGAAAGTACCATATCCGCGGATAATTCGGACTTGGAAGAACATTTAATAATAGAAAAAATAAGAACGACCGAGTGAGAAGAAATGTCATCTATCTACAATGGCTCGAGCATTGCGAATATGCAGCACATGTTTCAAGAATTGAAAAAAATGAGCAACCATGCCGAGAACAGGGAAGACTGTGGAATAAAATACCTGGAAATAATCGGCATGAAACGGTCGAGCCTGAGGACAATCCTCAACGTAGTGTACACCTTGTGCCACTACGAAGGTGAAATCCACAGTCAACCTGATGAAGTTCAAGAAATGAATATAAATCAAAGTGTCATGTCTGCTACGATGTTTACTGGTGGCAGCTACGGCCAATTGGAAGAATTTCTTGCTGCAATGAACGTACAATGTATGTCGAAGAGGCAATATGTAAAGTATCACGATGAAATCGTGAATTCGTTGATTGCCGTTGCAGAAAAAGAAATGATAGCAGCGGCTGAAAAAGAAAAACAATTAGCTATTGAAAGAGGAGATATTCTTCCAGGTTTTGGAATCCCACACATTTCTGTCGTTGTCGACGGGAGCTGGATGAAAAGATCATACCGCACCGGTACATATAACTCTGCGTCGGGCCGGGAGTTGGCGTAATATGTACTTGGATACCGCACCAGAAAAATTGTATTCATCGGAATGCGGAACAAAACATGCAAAATTTGTGATTTTGCTACAAAAAGGAAGGAACCCCTAAAACCCATATGTTTCAAAAACTGGCCAAGGAATCAAGCGTCGACCGCTATGGAAGGCTTCTCAAAACCAGCGTGGAAAAGCGGGGATTGATTTAATCCACGCTAATCGCTGACGGAGACAGCAGCGTATATAATCAAATTATCGATGCAGATCCGTACAAAACAGAAATTCGTGTGAAGAGAATTGAATGCACGAATCACTTATTACGGAATTTCTGCAGAAAAATGAGAGAAAATGCAAAAAAAAAACAGCAGCATGAAGTATGAGGAGAGCTGTTGAAAGTAGCATTCGGCGGATATGGATGGCGATAGTAAAAGCTGCGCAATATAGAAATAAAGAAAATGCATCGACCGCCGAAAAAATAAAAAATTTATACGGCGATGTATATAACATGCCAAGCCATGTTTTCGGCGAACATGCGGAGTGCAGTAAAATAAAATACTTCTGCGACGGGAAAAATAAGGAGAACGAAAGAAATATCGCCACACAATTAAAGAAGATGGGAATATATCAGCAAATTAACGATATACTTAAACCATTAGTAGCTCATGCAGAGAACTTATTATACAGCTGTAACGATAATAGCGTAGAAAACTTCAACGAAATCGTTACCAAATACATTGGTGGAAAAAGACTGAACCTCGGGATAAAATAATTTTAAGAAAAAAAATACGCCGACTTCGAAATGTATTAAAAAGTATAAAATAATTTCTATTTCCTAATGAAATAATTTCTATT